ACTGTCTTCCAAAGTGGCTATTCGGTTTTCTGCATTCCCACCAGCAAGAGTTCCTGTTTCTCTACACACTCACCAGCATTTTCATGGTGTCAGTGTTATGGATATTAGCCATTTCCCCTTTACACCCATCTTCCCAATCCCCCTACCATCTGGCAACCATCAAAATGTTCTCTGTATCTATGAATTTGTTTCTGTTTTGTTTTTCTTTACATGAAATCATGCAGTATTTGTCTTTCTCTGTCTGACTTCTTTCACTTAGCATAACAGATGTACTGTTTCTTTAACTAGCCCCATATTAGTGGACATTTAAATTATTTCCAATTTTCTGCAGTTACTAATAATGCTGCAACAAAAATCCTTATAAAATACTAGGGGCCCGGTGCACGAAATTCGTGCACTGGGTGTGTGTGGGGGGGGGGAGTGTCCCTCAGCCCAGCCTGCCCCCTCTCACATACTGGGAGCCCTCAGGCGTTGACCCCCATCACCCTCCAATCGCAGGATCGGCCCCTTGCCCAGAGGCGTCAGGCCTGGGCAGGGGACCCTCATTTCCCCCCATCACTGGTTCTGCCCCCAGCCCAGGCCTGATGCCTCTGGCCCAGGCATCAGGCCTGGGCAGGGGACCCCCCAGACCCCTCCAATTGCTGGCTCTGCCCCTTGCCCAGGCCTGATGCCTTGGCCAGAGGCGTAGACCCCCATCACCCTCCGATCGCCTGATCGGCCCCTTGCCCAGGCCTGATGCCTTGGCCAGAGGCGTAGACCCCCATCACCCTCCGATCGCCTGATCGGCCCCTTGCCCAGGCCTGACGCCTCCGCCAGAGGTGTCAGGCTTGGACAGGGGACCCCCATCCCCCCCCCCCAGTCACTGGCTCTGGCCCCCGCCCAGGCCTGAGGCCTCTGGCCCAGGAATCATGCCTGGGCAGGGGACCCCCATCTCCCTCTGATCGCTTGCTCCACCCCCCGCCCAAGCCTGACGCCTCTGACGCAGGCTTCAGGCCTGGGCAAGGGGACCATCATATCCCCCCAATCCCCGGCTCCGCCCCCCGCCCAGGCCTGATGCCTCGGCCAGAGGAGTTGACCCTCATCACCCTCCGATCACCAATCACCAGATCGGCCCCTTGCCCAGGCCTGAGGCCTCCGGCAGAGGTGTCAGGTCTGGGCAGGGGACCCCCAGCTCCCCGCGGTTGCAGGCTCCGCCCGTGCCCAGGCCTGATGCCTCTGGCCTAGGCGTCCGGCTCGGACAGCGGGGACCCGCAGCTGCAGCGGCCCCGCGATCGTAGGCTCCGCTTTAGGCCCAGGCAAGGGACCCCTAGCTCCTGGGACTGCCAGCTTCGACCATGCCCAGCTCCCATCGCTGGCTCCACCCCTACTTCCTGCTATCACTGGCCAGGGCGGAAAAGGCGCCTGATTCTCCGATCATGGCTGGGGGGCAGGGCAAAGGCGGCCCCGGGGCCACCTTTGCCCTGCCCCCCAGCTCTTAGCTCCCCCCTGGGTTTCCGATCACTGTCAGTGGCAGGGGGCTTCTTCCTGCTTTCCCTTTCGCCTCCCTGCATTGTGCCTACATATGCAAATTAACCGCCATCTTGTTGGCAGTTAACTGCCAATCTTAGTTGGCAGTTAATTTGCATATAGCCCTGATTAGCCCATGAAAAGGGTAGCGCTGTACGCCAATTACCATTTTTCTCTTTTATTAGTGTAGATATCAGTTCTCCTGGAGAGCATTATGCTAAGTGAAATAAGCCAGTCGAGAAAGATAAATATCACATGATCTCACTCATATGTGGGATATAATGATCAACATAAATTGATGAACAAGAATAGATCCAGAGACAAATGGCAGGGGTGTGTGTGGGGTGGGGGGGGTGGTTAGAGAGCAACCAAAGGACTTGTACACATGCATATTAGCATAACCAATGGACACAGACATTGGGGGGGTCAAATGGGGGAAAAAGGAGACATATGTAAAACATTAGACAATAAAATAAATAAATAAACAAACAAACAAACAAAACCAAAAAACAAAAAGCGTCAGTTCTCACATGGACAAATATATCTGTAGAATAAATTCCTAGAAGTAGGATTGCTTTGGTCAAAGGGTATGAGTTTTATACATGTATAAAATATTGTTTATTTCAGTACTCATGGAAAGAATGAACAACCTGAAATGTTACCTCTGCTGGAAGGCCTCTGTGAAGTTTATCACAGAAACCATCAAATGCTTGGCTTTCTTTGAAGTATTTGTCTTTTATTGTGATCTACTACAAGTTTTCTTCTTCTTCCCCCCAATATGTATTAAGCACATGCTACATGCCAGGCATGTTGGTAGGCTTTGAGAATAAAACCACAAACAAGACAGACATGAGCCGAAACCAGTTTGGCTCAGTGGATAGAGCGTCGGCCTGCGGACTGAAAGGTCCCGGGTTCGATTCCGGTCAAAGGCATGTACCTGGGTTGCGGGCACATCCCCAGTAGGAGGTGTGCAGGAAGCGGCTGATCGATGTTTCTCTCCCATCGATGTTTCTAACTCTCTATCTCTCTCTCCCTTCCTCTCTGTAAAAAATCAATAAAATATATTAAAAAAAAAAAAAAAAAAGACAGACATGGTCACTGTCCTCATGGTATTTACAGCTCAGGAGGCCGGGGTTGTCGGGGGCAGTACACATGAAAGAAATAATTATACACCAGATCATTACAGAGTGTGTCACATGCCATAAAGGAGAAGTACAGGGTGACCAAATGTGTTTACTAGACTCCTGACTTTGGGGATCTGAGAAGACTTCCTGGAAGAAGTGATATGTATTCTGATCAATAAGAGAGACTCAGCTAGGCAGAGGAAATGGCAGGTTTGAAGGCTTATTGTCAGGAACGTACAGTAGGGCCAACAGCATGGATTATAGGATCAAGACAGGGCCTTCAAGGTCATTTAATTCCAATTTCCTCACTTGACATGTGAACAAACTTAGATTCAAAGAACTAAACGACTTGGTCAAGGTTATATAGATAGTGGCACAGCCAGGAGTAGGACCTGTGTCCTCTGATTTCTTTTCAGATGGTGCTATGCTGCAAAAGCAGCATGCCCTGGAAACATGGAACAGACCGGAAAATCTCAGGGTGGGAGTAGGGGGGAGGGCAGAAGACATTAACCAAATAATTTATATGCATATACTAGTATGTACTACCCATGGACACAGACAATAGGTGGTGAAGGCGTGGGGTGGGGTTGGAACAGAGGGTATGGGGAACAAGGGAGAAGAAAGGGGGGACATCTAATACTTTCAACAAAGATTTTTTAAAAGAAATAAACAGAAAAATATACTGGAAAACTAAAAAAGAAAGTTTACAATGCTATCAAAAGTTAGCACATATTGAGCATGAGTTGCAATTGACCGCATTTTATCATTTTAGTTTAAAAATGTTTTATAGTGTACTTTCCTCTTTCCTACTTTTATACTATTTATTGATTGTTTTACAAATTATTTAATATAACTTTGTCCATTGGTTTGTTATGTTTTAGAAATATTTTACTAATTTTTAATCCTACCGTTACCTTCACTTTTAGTCTTCTAAGAAAAATAGTAACAAACTTCAAAGGGGAAAAAAAGCAGCATGCCCATCCTGGGACCTATAGAACTAAACTAGACATCTGTGGGATAATTGCCTGGGATCATGGGGGAGTGTTTAAGTTCAGGTCCTGTGACTAGCAGCCTGACATGTTTGTTTTTCTGTACTAGTAAGATACCGTTTGGGTAAATGGAAGTCTAACATTCCAGTCTAGTTTTCAGCATACTTGTCTCTTCTCCAAGTTTAGATAATAAATACAATGATATTAATCATTAAATATAATGATATTAATAATGGTGGTTACTTTTTAGTGCTTGCTATATGTCAAAGGCTGTTCTAAGCATTTTATATGTATTTCATTTAATCTTGACAACAATCCTATAAGGTAGGTATTATTATTACCCATTGGATAGATGAGGAAATTGAAGCTCAGAAAGGTCAGGCATTTGCTCAAGGCCACAGAGCTAAAGAGTAGCAAAGCAGGGACTCAGTCCAAACAGTCGGGCTTTAGGGCCCATGTACTTTTCCCAAGCACTCTCAGTATCAGCAGCAAGCTAGGAGATTCAGGTCTGAGCCCTGAGCAGCCTTGTGCTTTGGAGGGCCTACACAACTCTGGCTGCACATCAGAACCACTTGAGGAGCTTGCCAAAATGCTGATGTCCAGGCCTCAACCTGGGTCAGTTAAATCGCAGTCTCTAGGAGTGATTCCAATCGTGGATGGTTTTATTTATTTATTTATTTATTTTCCATCTTCATTGTTCAGTCGGGGGGGGGGGGGGCAGGGCCTGGGGTGAGGATGAGACCCTGGTTGGGTAGGTCAATTGGTTAGAACATCGTCCTGATACATCAAGGTTACAGATTTCATCCCCAGTCAGGGCAATACAAGAATCAACCAATGAATGCATAAATAAGTGGAACAACAAATCTCTCTCTCTCTCTCTCTCTCTCTCTCTCTCTCTCTCTCTCTTTCTTTCTCTCAATCAATCAATCAACTTAAAAAATAATAAAAATTGATGTCTTTGTATCTGTGAGTTTGTTACTATTTTAAAAAGTAAACAATAAACAAGGGGATGAATCAGTTAAGAAAAGTAAACGGGAGCACTTCAAAAAGGTTAACTACATGGGAGTGTGTGTTGAACATATCTAGAAGGCATAAGTTGGGAAGGAACGTTAAGTGTAAAGTTGAGTCTGTCCCAAATGGCTGCTTCCTTCCAAGCAAAATAAGCCACAAATTTGTGAGCAACGTGCCATGACTTTACTGCATGTTCATATTCATTCTAAGCCCATGGAACAAGAGGAGCCCCATGACAGCCTTTCTCTTTGCCATCCTCTTAGACAGGAGCATGGCATCCAGAATCCAGACTTGAGACCTTAGCTAATTTGACTAGAATATTTATTTCCTGGTGACTACATCACCTCATCCCAACTTCTATTTCCGTCAGGCTCAGAGCCCCTTCCTTCCCCGCTGTGGAGGAGTAGATGTCCATTTCTCAGGAGCCACGGACTGCTTCCGGCAGATAGTGAAGGCCCATGGGGTACTGGGACTCTGGAATGGATTGGCAGCCAACTTACTGAAGGTGAGAAGAGTGGTCAGTCTCTACTGTTTCTCTGCCTCTGCTAGTTCTAGCCTATTCCTTTGCCACTCCTAGGACAGTTTGCATGGAAATGTCCCCTCTAGCATTGATGGTAGCCCAAGGCCCTCAAGTGCAACCTAGCTGTCAGCCCTGAAGAGAGTGGACCCTGTGCAGTGTTGGAGCATCTGATAACCCATTCCAAAGGAGCTGACCATTTAGTGTACAGGTTCCTACCATGGGGGTTCATGGACTCCCAAAGGGAACCTAACCCTCCATCCTAAAATTGTATGCAAAAATGCAGATGTATGTGCATATGTGCTTCTCTCTGGGGAAATGATCCATAGCTTTCATTGTATTCCAAAAAAAAAAAAAACTCCATGACCGAAAAAGAGGTTAAGAACTCTAGACTGCCTTGGCCGGGTGGCTCAGCTGGTTGGAGCATCATCCTGTACACCAAAAGGTTGTGGGTTCAATTCCCAGTCAATTGAACCCAGTAGGTTCAATTACCTAGGTTGCAGGTTTCATCCCTAGTCGGAGTGCATGCGGGAGGCAGTTGATCGATGTTTCTCTCTATCTCTCCCTTCCACTCTCTAAACATATGCTCAGGAGAGGATTGAAAAGGGAAAAAAAATCACATATTACATTCTATGAGGGAAAAAAAGAACTCTGGACTAAACCTTGTACTAATTGACACATAAATGGTTTCAGTCAAGACAAGCATATGTTGACAAGAAGTGTCAGATTGTCTACCTGCATATTAATCCAGACTTGTGTTCTCCAGGGCCCTTCAACTGCTCTGTCATTCCTCACCCCCTCCCCATCCTCTCTGATTCCCAAAAAGAATTACTATGTTGTATTATCCACAGCCTTTAACTCAGTTTACCCTGACTCAAATTGATTGCAGACACATTGACACTTTTTTAGATTTTTAACATGATTTTCATTTTATTTTTAAACAGGTAGTTCCATATTTTGGAGTTATGTTTGGTACCTTTGAGTTCTGCAAGAGAATTTGTCTTTACCACAATGGTTACATTGTGTCTCCTCTGAGCTATAAATTGACCCCAGGGGTGGATCAGAGTTTGAAACCCCAGGAATTAAGGGAATTAAAGAAGTTCTTCAAAACTGGAAAACTAAATTCTAGAAAACCAACTCTTTAAAACTGAATGGAACTAGAAGTGCACTGACCGAAGGCGTTTTGCAATCACGGATAAATTTAGCTTCAAAATTGCACAATTATGAAGTGAGGAGAGGATACTCCTGTCTGCTGCTCTGGGAAATGAGAAGACTCAGCCATACGCCACTTCTGAGCTCCAAATTGATGTCCCTGGGAACACCTGCAGCTCAGGAAGGTTTCCCAACATGACCGTCTCCTGATGGCATTCCACCAGATTTTATAACAAAAGCTAGCAGTAATGATATGTGCTATTTACACAATACCAAAGAAAGGGCATTCCTATGACACCTCAAAGCAACATGTAGTTGAAGCGGCTGAGCAGAGACCACGTCATGCTCTCAGTCACAGCGTCACAGCTTGTACTAACCCACATCAGCTTAGTTTTGCTCAATTTGACCTGAGGAGTCCTAATATAATCGCTCTGGAACTCATAAGCTTTGCTGACTTCTGAGTGCACACACCACAGTGTAAATTATGCCTTCTCAGAAGCTAACTGAAAATATTCAACGTTTAAAAGTTATGAGTGTCATAGTAGAACCATCCTTCAGCTAAATTTGAAGCATCCCAGGCTTAAATCTTGTTTCAGGAAGGCGGTTTTTATCATGACTGCCTAATTATGCGCCAAAAGGCCTTCTTTGAATTGCAGTCATGTACAGTGTAAGTGGCCTGAATTCTCTGCCTTTTTTTACTTGCTTTGCAAGCCTACCCTGAAAATAAATTATTTAGTCAACTTAAGTTATTCTCAGAAGATGTCCCAGTTGCCTAGAAAGGATCAAATAGAGCATTTGACACACATACCAAAAAAACATAAATAACTGAGCAAACACTTCATGTCTACCAGATTTTTAAAAAGTCAAATTTTGGATTGTTCCACCTTGGAGATTCTATGTCAAGTTTATAGAACTGTATTTTCAAATAGTGCCTGTTTTTGCATTAAAAATATCTAATATTATGATACTAATTTATACATATGAAAGTATGTTAAAAGTATTTTCCCTATTAAACCTTTTTATTTCCAAATAAAAATTATGTGTTGGTCACTTATTATTACTAATCTGAGTTATAAAACTATGGTAAAATATATACTGGCCAAAATCTTTAAACTCTCAGAACCTTGTCCTACTGAAATATACCAAAATAACTCATTTTTCCAATTGCCATGACAGATTGTGTTTCATGGGGAATAGCAGTTAATACACACATGAAAATCTCATTGGTAGCCCAATCCTTTAGAGTTTGGAGGGTGGAAACTCTTTACCTGGAGTGACTAGTTCATGTTTGTTATTCTCTATTTCCCTTGAGGTGAACTACTTTTTGACATTCTGAAAGCTGCAAAAAAAATTATAACTAAATCTAAAATCTTAACCTCAGTTTACTTACCTCATATCTTCTGTGCATTCTTCCATAGGTATGATGAAATAGATAGCTAAATTCTTGCTACTGCTACTCACAGGAATGTTTTTGGAGCTGTTGTTTGGATATTTTTAAATAAAGAGGGAAAAGCATATGCCTCCTTTTTCTAATTTCAAAACAACTCTTTAAAAGACTAGTTCTGTTCCTAAAATGAACTTCCAGCTATTTGCAATTTCTCTGGGCTATAAAAGGAGTGTTCTGCTTTATGGTTGGCAGTGTGCACCAAACTGGACTAAGTGCTTTAGTTGAATTATATAAAGTGTGATGCAATATTGACCCAGGAGTAACTTACAGTCTTCGGGAACAAAACTTAACTACATACATGAAATGACTATGATTACAAAGCAAATACAAGCAAAGGCATGATAATGTGGTAACGGTTGTTTGCAAAATTGCTAAGGAGTTCTGTGTATACTTACTGAATCAATGATTAACGGGACCATCAGGTGAGAAGGGCCAGTAATGAACAGGGCGTTTTGGAGGTAATGAGTCTTAAACTAAGTGGTTTTTTGATATATTTTTATTGATTTCAGAGAGGAAAGGAGAGGAAGAGAGTGATAGAAACATCAATGATGAGAGAGAATCATTGATCGGCTGCCTTTACACACCACACACTGGGGATCAAGCCCACAACCCAGGCATGTACCCCTGACTGGAATCAAACCCGGGACTCTTCAGTGGGCAGGCCGACGCTCTATACACAGAAAAACCAGCTAGGGCTTGAACTAAATTTGAAGAAAGTGAGAGGATATTAATTGGTCAAGAATAAGTTGGAGCCCTGGCTAGTGGATAGAGCATCGACTTAAGGGTCCCGGGTTTGATTCTGGTCAAAGGCATGTACCTCAGTTGCAAGCTCAATCCCCCATCCTGGTCAGGCACTTGCAGTAGCCAACCAATTGATGTATCTTTCTAATACTGAGGTTTTTCTCTCTGTGTGTCTCTTCCCCTCCCTTCTACTCTCTCTAAAAATCAATGGAAAAATATCCTCAGGTGAGGATTAACAACAACACACAAAAAAGAATAAGTTGGAGGATATTGCAGGTTGACAGTAGGTCATGCACAGTGTCACAGAGATGGAAACAAGCAAAAGGTGTTGGGAGAGTGGAAGAACACTGGCTTCATATATTTATTCAGCTGCTGGGCACTCTGGACACAGTGGTACATAAGTCAGATAACATTCTTGCCCTCCTGGAGCTTGCATTCTAGTGAAAGCAGCTATCAGTAAAGAAATAAACAAATCAACATATTGTAATATTATGAGGAAAATAAACAGGGCACTTTATTATAGAAATAATGTGGGATTAAGGCAAATATTTTAAATCAGGAAGCCAGGGAAGGCCGCTCTGAGATGCGACATTTGAGATGGGACCTGGAGGGTGAGAATGAGCCAACCATGCAAAGAACTAGGAAGAACATTCCTCCCTGAGAAAGCAGAAGATGCCAAAGTGGTGCTGGTAGTTGGGAGGACTTAGTGAACAGAAAATGGGTGAGTGTAGCCAGTGTGTGAGTGAGGGAGAGAGTGTATGAGATGACATTGGATAGAGGGCCGGATCATATGTGGCCATTTGGGCCATAGGAAGAAGTTAGACTTTACTCTAAATGCAGTGGGGAGTCATTGAAGGTTTTTATATAGAGAAGATACAATTTGATTTTCATTGTAAAAATTTCTTTCTGGCTGCTGTGTGGATAATAGATTGGAGGGAAGCAAGGCTGTGAGTGGGAAGAACAGATAAGAGACTATGCTACAAAGTCCAAGTAAGACACGACGGCTTAGGCTAGAATAGTAGCAATAAAGATGGAGAGGAGTTGCCTGGCCAGTGTGGCTCACTTGCTGAATGTCGACCTATGAACCAGGAGGTCACAGTCATGCCCGGGTTGCAGGCTCAATCCCCAGTAGGGGGAGTGCAGAAGGAAGCTGATTAATGATTCTCTCTCATCATTGATGTTTCTAACTCTCCTTCTCTGAAATCAATAAAAAAAATATATATTTTTTTAAAGATAAAGAGAAGTGAATAGATTCAAGACATATTTTGGAGTTGGATTCAGCAGGATTTGCTGAGCAATTGAATAAAAAGAGGGCCTCAAAATGGCACCTAGGTCTTTGGCTTTTTTGTTTGGTGTTTGTTTCTTTGTTAATCATCCCCCAAGGATTTTTTTCCATTGATTTTCAGAGAAAGTGGAAGGGAGGGAGAGAGACAGAGAGTGAAACATCATCGTGAGAGAGACATGCCAATTGGTTGCCTCCTGTGTGCACCCTGACCAGGACTGGGAATTGAACCTGAGACCCCCTAACCACTGAGCCAAACGGGCCAGGACAGTTTTTGGCTTTAGACTTGACTGACAAGGTAGATAATGTTACCATTTACTAATGTGGGGAAGACTGGTGAGGGCCAGTGTTTTGGTGTAGAACAGTGGTTCTCAACCTTCTGGCCCTTTAAATACAGTTCCTCATGTTGTGACCCAACCATAAAATTATTTTTGTTGCCGAAACTGGTTTGGCTCAGTGGATAGAGCGTCGGCCTGCAGACTGAAAGGTCCCAGGTTCGATTCCGGTCAAGGGCATGTACCTGGGTTGCGGGCACATCCCCAGTGGGAGATGTGCAGGAGGCAGCTGATCGATGTTTCTCTCTCATCGATGTTTCTAACTCTCTATCTCTCTCCCTTCCTCTCTGTAAGAAATCAATAAAAAATATATTTAAAAAAAATTATTTTTGTTGCTACTTCATAACTGTAATTTTGCTACTGTTATGAATCATAATGTAAATATCTGATATACAGGACTTAGGCGACCCCTGTGAAAGGGTCGTTCGACCGTCAAAGGGGTCATGACCCACAGGTTGAGAACCGCTGGTATAGAATAAATTAAAAGGTCACTTTGGACATGTTAAATTCGAAATGCTCCATGAGACATCCAAGTAGACAGTTGTCTGGAACATAGACTGTGTAATTGCCCAATACAGTTGTGGTAGACAGAATAATGACACCGCCTCCCCACACACACACAAGGTTGTCCACACCCTAATCCCTAGAACCTGTGAACATTTACCTTACATGGCAAACGAGACTTTGTAGATGTGATTGAGGTTAAGGATATTGAGATGGAGAGAGTATCATGGTTTATCTGGGTGGGCCCAATCTAATCACAAGTCCTTAAAATTGGAAGAGGAAGGTGGAAGAGTGGGACAGAACAAGAGGCAGTAGAAACTGGGCAAGTGAGGAACTTGACTCACTTTTGCTGACTTTGTAGACAAAGGAGCCCAGGACCTAAGGAATGGGGGTGGCCTCTAGAAGCTGAGAATAACCCTCAGCTGACTGCCAGCGAGGAGATGGGAACTTCAGTTTTACAACCTCAAGGAACTGAATGCAGCCAATAACCTGAATGAGCCAGGAAACAGACTTTCCCTGACAGACACCAAAAAGAGACACATTCCAGCTAGACACCTTGATTTTAGCCCAGCGAGACCCACATCAGACTTCTGATCTCCCTAACTGTAAGATAATAAATTTGTCTTGTTTAAGCAACTGAGTTTGCAGTAATTTGTTTTAGCACCAATAGAAAATTAATAGAACGCTATTAATAATAATATCTAATGTCACAATAATAAGCATAAACCAGAACTGTCCTGGGCAAACTGGATAAGTCTGGAATTCAGGGGAGAGTGGTGACTGCAGACAGAAATTTGGATGTCATCAGCAGATAGATGGCATTTAAAGCCAAGAGACTGAATGAGACCGCCAGAGGAGCAGATGGGAAGAAACTCCTGGGGGAGAGGGAAGCAACAAAAAATGACATTGAGGAGATGGTGGCTAAAGAAAGGCCTCAAGCAAGATGTGGAGGAACTGAAACTCTTGTATCCTGCTGTTGGGGATGTAAAATGCTACAGTCATTTTACAGTCTGGCAATTCCTCAAGTGGTTCAACATGGAGTTATCATATGGCCCAGAAATTCCACTTGTACATGTGCCCTTGCCAGTATGTTCAGTGATTAGAGCATCAGCCCCAAGCACCAAAGGGTCACAGGACCCATTCCCAGTCAAGGGCATGTACCTGGGTTGCAGGTTCAATCCCCAGCCTCCCTCTCCCTCTCCCTCTCCCTCTCCCTTTCTCTCTCCCTCTCCCTCTCTCTCTCCCTCTCTCCCTTCCATTCTCTCTAAAAATCAATGGAAAAAATACTCCCAGGTGAGGATTAACAAAACCAACCAAACAAAATATTTGTTTATATCAGCATCATTCATAATAGGCAAAAAGTGGAAATGACCCAAATGTCTATCAACTGATGATTGGAGAAACAATATGTGCTATATAACTACTTAGCAATTGAAAGGAATTGACTACTGATACACAAAAAGCATGGGTGAAACTCTACATACTAGTATATGGAAGGAAGACAGACACCCCCTCAAAGGGCACATACTTTATGATTCCATTTATATGAAGTTCTAGGAAAGATAAGCTCATTTATAGTAACAGAAAGCAGATCTGCGGTTGTTTGGGGAGAGGAGGAATTACAATGGGGCGAAAGAAAATTTAGGTTGTTGGTGGTGATGGATATTTTCACTATCTTAACTGTGATGGTTTCATAGGTGTATACATATGTAAAAAACTTAGCAATG